AAAATTAATATAGTGGACAGTTTTGGTTTTGCGAAATCATAGTGTGTAACATTCGTATTGAACCCCCCTACCCCTAGATTGTGACATCAAGGATATCATCGCTATGTTGAGATAACCGCGTGGCGCAGCATTTGATGGACCAAAAAAAATTTTATATTATTTAACTGATCACTAGTAAAATTTTCTTTTAACCTAGGTAATTAATTAATGTAACTATTATTACTTTTTGATCCACCAGTAAAGCCTCCCTCATTCTTCTCCTTTCACCCCTTCTACTTTGTCATCATTTAATGCAAATAAATACATCTTCAAATGTAGTGTTTTTGTTTCAATTTTTTGTAGCAAACAATATAAGGAGTTTTTAGTTAAAGAAATCCGTCAAAGACACCGGAGCCAGATGAAATACGCGAAGTTTTAAGATAACCAGCCATCAGGAAGAAAGTGGTGTCGGTCTGTTTGAAGGTGATTTAATTATGAAAGAAAATAATAATAATAGTGATGATAGCATTAGTGGTAATGATGATGGTGCTTACGATAGTGAAGAAGAAGTGGAGGAGCGAAGAGCCAGTTTGCCGTCGATTTCAAGGACGGGCCAGCATTGTCTGACGATATAAATTGGACAAATGAAGAGACCTCAAATATAATTTAAAAGAAGATTAAATTGTGCTGGACTTCACGGACTGGGAAAGAACCGAACCATGGTTGGTGAAGAACAAGGTAAAGTGATTGATTATTTAATGTTGATTTTTGATTTTTCTAGATATAAATTAAAACAAAAATGTAAGTAATGATATAGATAAATGATTGATGATGATTATTTTTTTAGTTAAGAGAATTAATAGATGTATTTTTTTAACATGTTTAAAAGAATCAGTTGATGGTGTGTGTGTATTATTGTTTCTTTACCAAAATTCAGTGATGATTTGTCTAGACAAATTAACCCTACATTAGAAAATGGTCAAAAATTACACATCCTTGTGTGTGACTCATGATGAGTCAGTCCACCTTTTATGCCAATGATGGTATAAAAAAAATATGGCTACTTGAACATGAACAACCATTAATTCCAAAAGTCTTGGTTATGGTATTAAAAGCTTTTGAAAGTTATAAAAATGGCTCAGAAATTCCCAAAAGTGTAAAGGAATTGAATTTATATATAATATATATTATTTCAATTTATTTATTGTACTTACTAATGTTTATTATATTTCTTCCATTAAACCTATCATGGTAAATCAATTCTAATGCCTATTGATTGGATTACCTGCAGAAAACACTAAACTTTTTTACCAGGTATATTTTTATTAATTTAGCAAAAGTATTTATCAATAACACAAAATTTTAAAAACTATATTTACGCATTGTTTTACCGAGACAGTTTAATTAATAATTTAAAGGGAATTTAACCAATAATTATGACGATTTACTTTTTGAATGCTCTTCAAAGAAAAAAAGGTCAAACTGACCGACCATCAGACCCAGGGATGATTAAAAAAAGAAGGACAACGTTTCACATATGACATATTAGATTATTGTTAGAATAGTGGTTTTTACATTCCTTAGAATTGCGGTACAAAACTACCGACTAAAAGGCCTGTTGACACCTTTCTCATGTTCAGGGGTTTTCAATCTATTTGAGCAATGTCCCTTTGGGTATTGAAAACAGCACTTGCATATGTGTGGAAGGTGTTTGTGCAACCACTTTTCTTTGAGGGCGCTCCAATGAGTATAAAATGAAAATTCTCATCATCTGATTCGGTTGACGGTTTTAACGGAGTAAATTTACATTAAACTTGGCTCTTGTAAACCATTATCAATTCCTAATAATAATAATTTTTTAATAATAAATTCCCCAGCTTAAATTTTAACCGCGTTCAATTAAACAATGTTTAGGTTTAAAACCATGCTTGGCTTGAACCATTTACGCCTTGTGGCGTGAAGTTCACTTTTCCGGTTTGTTTGTGAAATGTCACACGCAACTGGTATCATACGTATTATGAAAATTTCGGAAAATATAATTATTATTACTGACAAAACAATAACCCCAATCTCTATATATATATCTCTATGACTATAGTAGTGAACAAAGAAACACACATATATATAGTGGGACTTTAATATTGATATGATGTTTATAAATAACATTTTATTCCTTTTTTTTAAAAAACCCAATTTTTAATATTAAACTCCGAAAAGACCTTTAATAAGTGAAATTAATCGAAGTTATCACGAGCATCACATGTTTTAATTAGTATGAATTTTCGGATAGTGCAACAAAGAACAAAAAAAAATAAATATTAATAATATTTACTATTATATAACTTCTTCTGCTTCTTACATTTATATTATTATTATTATAAAAAAATATAATAACAAGAATGTCATTACCAGCATCGTTTCCCGACTCTTTACCAATTTCCCAAGAGCGTCTATCGCTTTTGAATCGTTTTAAGAATGAAAGATTAGGGAAGCTCAGACCAATAAGTGAATTCTTTGATAGAACAAGAATTTCAAAACCAAATGGCATGGGAGGTAAGCAAAGAATAATAAAAATATTTTATTGTGTATGAATATTCCAACTAACATATAATTTTATATTTATAATTGTAATGTATGTTTATCTAGACATCACTCAACGTCTTTCCTATAATTTGACACATTTCCAATCAAATTATATTATTATTATGCTTGGTTTATTGGTATATTGTCTGTGAGTGATTTCATTTAGTTAACAAATAAATAAATAAATTTGGTTTTTGAAATTTACAAAATAATAATTTTCTAATTTAATTTCCAATATAATAAAATAAATAAATGTATTTATTATAGAATCACAAATCTTTGGCTTCTCTTCACTATTGTATTCATGATTTTTGGATTAAATTTTATTAGTAAATTAAATCCTGATGAACCATTCGTTTTTCAAAATCAAGTTATCACTCAAAAACAACTATATGTTGGTTTAATTGGTTTTTCTATTCCTCTCTTATTCATATCATCTGCTGGATCTGCCATCTTTTGGATTGTTGGTAATTATCATCATTATCATTATTTTGTTTCTTCCAAAAGTTATACATTTATTAATTTTGGAAAATAAATAGGTGCTTCTGCTACATTGATATTGGGTCATGCCGTATTTCTTGAACCTGGTATTGAAGGAGGTTTCTCGTCACCTGCAAACCAAGTTTAAGATAATCCAATTAGACAATAATCAGATTTATTATTTTTCTCTTTCTACGCGCTCCCTTTTTGTACATTGAGAGAAAGAGAGTGTGTGTGTGAGACCTTAGTATAAATGTACTACATATTTATAGACAGTTGTTTTACACTTTTTGTTACGGATTAACCAATTATCCCTTCTCAATTATTTAATTATTTATTTTCTTTATATGTTATTATTATTATATATAGATATGTGTTACATTTTGATGTTGGTGAAACGTGACGTAATATATATAAAAAAAAATAAAATATTATTATTTTTACGATCCTTATGATCAGAAAATTTTATTAATCTACGATTTCTATAAGTTTTCTGATCTATAGATTTTTCAATATTAAAAAAACAATTTTTTTGGTTCCATTCACTAAATTTCTTTTTTTACTTTTATTATGACTCAAAAACGAAAAAATTTAGAAATAGCAATTTCGCCAGATTCAATCAAACATCGTAAAAATGATGCATTGATTACAACCTACACTTCGAGTGATATTAGTTTACAAAATAAAAAAAATATTCTCGTATGGTTTAGAACAGATTTACGAATTCAGGATAATCCTGCTCTTTACAAAGCATCTTCATTAGCAACAAATAATTATGTTTTCACGCTGTTTGTCATATCACCAGAAGAATGGGAATCACACGATGTTGCTCCTATTAGAGTGGATTTTTGGCTACGTAACTTGAACATTTTAAAAGAGAAATTAAACATTCTGAATATTCCGGTAATCGTCGAGAAAGTCAACAAATCAAAAGATGTTCCTAAATTTGTAATCGAGTTGTGTGAAAAATTAAATATCGATCATTTATTTGCGAATATTGAATATGAAGTAAGTTTATAATAATTAGCATGATTAACGAACGAGTTATGTACTTTACTATCAAAGCTTCGTATTACCATTAAATATGATTTGTGTATTCAAGGTGGATGAATTGAAAAGAGATAAAGACTTATTGAGACTAGCAAATTCCAATTCTATCAAAGTTGAAATGATTCATTCACAATGTGTCGTAAAACCAGGATCAATCAAAACAAAAGTATTTATTTCCTGGAAGAAATCGTAAATTCGTATTTTTTTTATTTTTATTTTTTCCTAAATAATAATCATCGGTGATTTTGGTTTTGATTTGATTAGGCCGGAACTCCATATACTGTATATAGTCCATTCAAGAATACATGGCTAGCTTATGTAGAGTCTAATAAATCACTTTTAGAAATATCACCTCCTCTTACAAAATCAAATGACAACAGCATCAAATCAAGTTATCCAGAGACATTCAACTATCAAATTCCTGATTCAATTCCAGGATTTGAATTGGGCAAAGAACTATCGTCTACTTCTAAAGTCAACTTTCCAGCCGGCGAAGAAGAGGCTCATGAACGTTTATCCAAATTCGTTCAATCTAGGATTCAAAAATACGAAAAAAATCGTGATATTCCTTCCATGAACGGAACATCAATTTTATCTCCGTATCTTGCTTCGGGAATAATCTCTGCACGTCAATGTATAAATGCGGCGGTGCGAGCCAACAACAATAATCTATCAATTGGTAAACCAGGCGTGGTTAGATGGATCGAAGAGATAATTTGGCGAGATTTTTATCGTCATGTTCTCTTCTCTTTTCCTCACGTTTGTAAATATCAACCCTTCAAAAAAACTTATGCTAACGTCGAATGGGATAATAACGAAGAAAAATTTAAAAGATGGCGTGAAGGTAGGACCGGTTATCCTATTGTCGATGCTGGTATAAAACAACTTAATAAATCTGGTTGGATGCATAATCGTGTTCGCATGATTGTTGCTATGTTTTTGGTTAAAGGTATATATAATATATATATATATATTATTGGTTATATGTATATATACAACAGCAGGACCAAGACAAAATGAATATGACAATTTCTGTGGCACAAAATGATATTAATGTTAACGGCTTATTTTTGTTCCGATTATTCAATATCTTCCAAGGAAAAGTTACGGTGAGTGCTAGAGATAACTATAGATTATATATAACTTTTTTAATATATATATTAAAATTTAAGAAGACTCTGTTACATTATTCCTTAGGTCTTGTGTATAGAATTTTGGGAACTTTGATTTTATTAATAGACAATTTATTGAGAAATGTAATATTTATTGATGCGAAAGGACTAGAACTTGATAATAATGCTTATGAGTCTGTCATTTTGAAGCCTGAAATTATCTGTTCACTTTGTCTGGTTTTGCCAATATTATAGATTCATTATTATAGAATTATTGTTCATTATTAGATTTACTTATTGATTGGAAAAAAGGCGAACAATATTTTATGAAGAATTTGATTGATGGTGATTTTGCAAGCAATAATGGAGGTTGGCAATGGGTATGTAGCGTGATAAATGATAATCAAAAGATTACTAATGTTATTGTTATTAATATTAATATTATGTTATTATTTCTAGTGTGCTTCAACTGGGACTGATGCACAAGTAAATATTTACATGCTTCAATACATTCGTCTAATTTAATTAATTAATGATTATTATGATTATCATCATCATTAGCCATATTTCCGTATATTCAATCCTACCACTCAAAGTGTAAAGGTGTATTTTCTTTTTTATTATTCATTTTTCACAATTGGAAATTAGAAAATATTAATAAGCCCTTGATTCTTTAGTTTGACTCAAATGGTGACTATATACGAAGATGGTTGCCCGAATTAAAAGATCTAGATTCCAAAGTTATTCATGATCCTTTTAAATTTTCAAGTAAAAAAGAGTTTGAGAAATTGGGGTAAATGCTGCTCAATACTACTACTAACTATTAATTACTAATAAAACAATTGTATTAAATAATATATCATTAATAATAATAGATATCCTGAACCGATTGTTGATCACGCGGTAGCCAGACGTATTACTTTAGAAAAGTATGAAAAAGTTGCAAAAAATAAATAAATAAAATCATATCTTAATATCGATTCTATCATACAGTAAAGAGGAATATAGCATTATAATATTTACTTGACGATGAGGCTAATCAAATGAGCCTAGGTTTTGAGTATGGTTACTGGAAGGTTATTTGCCAAATTGATTTTTTATCATCCGAGTTACTATAGTAAGGATATTCGGTAAATTTTCATTTCTATTGCATCATAATCTTTATTTATGAGTTTAAAATTTCATCTTCATCTAAAAGTTTTTTCTGGACTGGAACTCGGCTCGCTCATGCATGAGCTTGAAATACTGATTATAAAAAGAAAAAATATTCATCGTGCCAATAATGCATGATTGATTAGATCGATTAAAAAGAGCATATTCAAATGGCACTACGAATAGATTTACTATCAAGTAGCTTTGGTTTATTGATTTAATATTTGTTTGCAAGTCGAAACCCGTTAACTTGAATCGAGAGCGTTTATAACATACATACATGTTAATTAATTATAAAACGATTATTTCATTGAAAAAGAACGACGTTATCGATTTAATACGATTCTTGTGTTTCATCGATTAAGCTGATTCTATAAATAACTTGAAACGATTATTAAAATTAAAATTGATTCCAACTAAATACAGAATATTATTCATCCATTCAAAAAATGTTACCGTTAGCGAAAAAAAAATTTTTATTTTAATAATGAATTTTATATCGACTGAAAAAATAAATCGTTCTGTTATATACTCTTTCTTTAGCTATTCAAAAAAGATGGAGGACAAGTATTGTTGCTATTATTATCATCAAATAAAATCTCTTCAATTACATCATGGACTGACTATATTAACATTGATTGGTTTTATTTTAAAAGTACACATACACATGTTCCCTCCACCTCCACAACAAATATTTCATTAGAATTAACAAATGTTTGGATATCCCGGAGGTAAACATTGATGGAAATGCAAGTTTTTGTATGTCAGGAATGGAATCGATGACAACTGCTAGGAGTTAAAGTTTCAATTCTTAATGATGATATTCAATAAACGGTGAAACAATGGCAAGAGTTATTTTATGGAAAACGTTATAGTCAACATATTATAAATATATATATATATATATACATTAGCTGGACAAAAGTATTTGATTACGTGTTTACACTAATTAGTAAAAAACCTACATAACAACATCACACGAAATTTATAACATTATGCATCTAGATTTTGGTAATTATATATTCGAAATTTCACGTTGCTAGCTTTCATGTATCAAATTTAATCAAAAATGTTTTTTTTCATGATAATTTACATATGTAAACTCGATAAGTTGGTCATGTGGAAGTGAGCTCATATGAACGACTTATCGAATTAATATTAAGAAAATGGGGTGAAAATTTTTGGCCGACTTATCGAGTTTACATATGTATTTTGTTTAATTTGTTCTGGGACGCGTGATATATAGTAAAATCAAATCTCCTTCATTTTTGATAGCAAGATCGTGCAACCTCAAACTCCCCGAGATTTTTTTATTACATTGTTGCTTAGGTTCTAAAAATTGCAAAAATAGAGAGTTTTTTCCCACTTCCAAATATAGTTATTGTGCCTTAACATTTTAAAGATTGACTATTCTTTGATGTCCACCACATTATTATTACTGTATTAGATTTTACCTTATTATTATTATTATCTGTGAATTTTTTACCCGGAAATTTTTCTGGCCAATTATTTATGTCACGCGGATGAATGAAGTGATTTTGATTTACAGAAAATTTTTTTGATATATTCATAATGGCAGATTCAAATACAACAACAAATACTAAAGAAAAAGAAGAACCGGAAATGACAAGCAAAGATTATTATTTTGATTCATATGCACATTTCGGTATATTTATGTTGACTAATTAATCTATATATTTTATGGGTTTCCATGTAATTTACTCTTTATTATCACTTATTTGTTGATTTTAAAACACCAAGGAATTCATGAAGAGATGCTTAAAGATGAAGTTCGAACACTCTCATATCGTACAGCAATTTATCAGAATAAACATTTGTTCAAAGATAAAATAGTACTAGATATAGGGAGTGGAACAGGAATCTTATCGATGTTTGCAGCAAAAGCTGGCGCCAAACATGTTTATGGAGTATGTGGCATATCGAATGATTTATTTTGATTATATATTCTGGAATCGAACCCTAACCCCAGTTACCAGTTTTTTAACATGAGGGAGTACATTAATATTTGTTTGTTTATTCGTTTATGTAGATTGACATGTCAAGTATCATTGATCAGGCACGGCAAATAATTGCAGATAATAAATTAGACGATAGTACGAATTTAATAGCATGAATTTATTGAACTGATTTAATCGATTTTCAACATGTCACACATTAACGCATAATTTAACTTGAAATATTATCAGAAATTACCCTGATTAAAGGCAAGATGGAAGAAGTAAAATTACCGGTTGACCAAGTTGACATCATCATTTCAGAATGGATGGGTTATTTTCTTTTATATGAATCAATGCTAGATACTGTCATAATTGCACGAGATAAATACTTGGTATGTGTCATCATCATCGTATATTATTCATTAATCAATTGTTGAGATAAAAAATCATTTGTATAAATGTACGTATGAATGAATGAATGTATGTATGTATGTATGTATAAGTATCTATAAAGGTTTATTTATCTATTTGTATTTTATTTGTTATTTATTAAATAGAAACCTGGTGGTATGATATTTCCTGATAAAGCCACAATGTTTCTTTCTGCCATTGAAGATGGGGAATACAAAGAAGAAAAAATTGAATGTAGGAATTTATATTTAAAATAATAGAATCATCATTATTGTCATCATTATAATTACTACTTATAATTATAATTATAATTATTATTATTATAAATATTATAATGATCGTATTTCTCTAGTTTGGAATAATGTTTATGGCTTTGATTTCAGTTCAATTAAATCAGTTGCGCTCAGAGAACCATTAGTAGATGTTGTTAATTATAAAGCTATTGTCACAAAACCAATTGCAATAAAAGTATTTAAATTTATTCAATTTTTATTTAACCTATTATCTCACAATTAACTTTGACAATAATTTTCCCTAATAATTTTAGGAAATTGATATTAATACAGTTCAGAAATCAGACCTTGATTTTAAAGCTCCATTCACTCTAACTACACTCAGAGATGATTATATTCATGCGTTTATTTCTTGGTTCGAAATTACCTTTTCAGTGTGTCATAAACCAATTCATTTCAGTACAGGTAAGGAAATCTGTCAACTATAATTGTTATTTACCAAAGAATTCATATATATTTATTGAAGAATATATACACATTCTCTTCCTTACTCCTCTCACCAAAAAAAAAAAAAAACTAATTTAGGGCCGCATGCTAAATATACACATTGGAAACAAACTGTGTTTTATATAAATGAGTCAATTATTGTTAAAGAAGGAGAAACAATTACCGGGTCTTTGACTTGTTCACCTAACAAGAAAAATAATCGAGATTTGGATATTGAAATTAGTTATGAGTTTTCAAGTGATGCAGGAAACTTTTCTGAAGTGTGCAAATATAAAATGTGAGTAAAGCATTATTTTATTTTCTAATTAAAATTTTTATTCTCAAATTCACAATTTTTAATATATGTTCTAGGAATTAGGTATTAGAATCCAACACAAATAATTTATTTTTTAAATAACATCATTATTACTTGCTAAATATTAAAATAATACATTTGTTTTTTGAAATGTATAATGAATGTCTGAGCAATTTTTTAATCTTGTTCCACGTCAAGGTTTAGCAATAACAATGGAGCACAATAGTCCCAACTATGCACTTTTATCATCGCGTGTAACACACTAATATCTTGACCTTTTAGAAATAAATCAGGAGAAATTAGATCCCAATTTTCTAAAATAAATTGTGCAAGATCACGTGATTTCAGCAATAAGTCACGTCGTGTGGTATTTCACAAAAAAACCGATTCGAAAAACCGCCTCACCCTAATACTAATATTAATATTAATATTGATGAGAGATTATTATTATCTGGGTGTTGGCTTCTTATTGATCACTAAAATATAGTAAGACCACCCATTTGTTAATAATCATGAAATTCCAATCTAAAAGTTTTTAAGTTCATTTCAAAGGGAGGAATTTTTTTGATGATGAGATAGATGGTTTATTTTTACATAAATAATGATTGTTATTAATATAAATTTTTTTCAATTCTACACTTGAGAGAATAAAAAAAATTTAAAATATGTTTACAGAATAAAATAATTGATTTATAATATAATAAAAAACAAATAATCAAAAAATAATAAAGAAAATTATGTTGTTAATTATATCCAATATCTTTCCCAGTCGGTATTTTAATACTACTATATTAGTAGTAGAAAAATTTGAATTGTTGTTGTTATTAACCTTTTCACTAATACTATTATTGGGTTAATCAAGAAAGATCATTACCACCAGTGTGATAATCTTCATTGAAAATAGTATGCGGCGAAGTCTTTATGCCTTTATCAGCAACTATGATTTCGAAATCATCATAATTATTATTCTCAAAATAACAACGTGCTTTACGATTTACTGAACCCATAGTTGAAGATCTCCTCAATTTTTGCCTTTTGAAAAAAGCATCATTTTTTTCATTATCATCATTATCATTATCACTATCATTATTGTTATAATTACTGTGAATACGATTTAACTGTGCTTGTTTTGATGAATAGGTGGGTTCAAGTTTTTTCAATGGTGAGATTTTATAATCATTGTTCTTCACCAATCTAGGTGCAATATCATATAAATTTCTCATTTGTTTTTGAACTTTATTTTCATCATATGCTTCTTTAAAATTGTCTATTTTTGTTTGACGTTTCTTAATATTAGACTTTCTAATAAATAGTGCAGCAACAATGATAATAATTAAAAGTATTAGCAGTATTAAAATAACAATTAAAATTATATGCCACGGTTTAAGTCCCTTTACAGCATCATCATCATCATCATCATCATCACCAGTATCTGTTTCAGATTTATCATTTGCTAACTTGACGGTTATTTTGGAATTCAAAGATGTGATTGCATCAACTTGTGCAATGTCAGAAGAATAAATGATGGGATTTTTGTTATTGTTGTCAGATTCAGTCACAAATAAAAGACCAGGTGGAATCTCAAGTGAAAATGGAGATGAAAAAATTTCCTTTGGAAGGTCTTTTGAAGTATAAGTATTTACGGTAAGTTGAGTAAAGTTTCCACGGAATAATGTGTTGGTATAAACATTAATGGTATCTAATAATTAATTGATTGATAAAATTATCATTAATATTGTTATCATTATAACCTTTGATTATTATTATCATCAGATAATTATTTATACACAACTTACTTGGTGCAACATTATAGGTTTTCCATGTCATAGGTGTTGAGTTACTTTGACAAGTATCTAAACCAACAACAACATCACCAATCACTGTTAAACATTTTCCATCATTTGAACTGCTTGAAAAAGAACCATCAAGATTAAATTTCCATTTTTGATTAACATCATCATTAATACAAGGACAAGCCTCGACACCAGAATTAGACTTGGTAGTAAGACACAATTTGCTATCAAAAGATTCTATAAAGATTTCTGATGAACTTGATAATGGTTGAGATGGATTTACAGATATAAGATTCCATTTGGTTGAATCCGATGATAAATTTCCAAATTGACAACTTGTAAAAGTTAAAGGCATACAACTTTGTGTTAAATTAACCGGATATTGTAAACATGTTTGTGTTTTGCTATTCGTAATAAATTTGGCTAAATTGTTAAAAGAAAAAAATTTAATAAAATCATAAAACTCTGCATCATGTGATAGAAGCAAAATTACATGTGCAACTTGCCTGCTTGCGTCTTATTTATTACGATGAATAAAAAAGCAAATATTAAGGAGGGCACAAGAGAAAAAATTTTACTTTGTGTTTTCATTATTATTTTTTTTTTTTTTTTTTTAAACAATAATTTATATATTTTTAATTGAATGGTTGGTTATCATAAACAACAACGATAATGGAAAAAAAAAGCTATCTACAAAACTAAGGGAATCCAGTTCTCCTGTTATTAAAAAAAATTTATAATAAAAAAAGAAAGAAGATTTAAAATTATATAACGTCCTTGAAAAAAAAGTACATTTATGTTACTAAAGCGTATTTATATAAAAATTTTTTTTTTTATAAACAACATTCGTTTAAGGAAATATTTCATTAATCTTTTACCAAATTCAATAAGATTATCCTTTATAAATGTTCATCTAATGGTGAAACAAAAACAGACTCCACCTGTTTCAGACAATATAAATGAGTACATATTAAGTTAATATCAATAAGTAAATTTTTTTGAAATAATGAAAATACTCAACTACAAAAAGAGATGAATATTCCTATTTTTAAATATAGCGTGTATATTTATCTCGTACAAACGACTTTTGGGGAGAACAAAATGCTAGTGGTGAAAAAAAAAAAACCACGATCAAAATGGACAAACTAGAAAACTCTAATTTGGAGGTATAATACTATAATTGTATTCAAAATGGAAATAATATCTACCTCTCTTTTTCGTAGACTTGGTTATGTTACGAAATTATGCATTTTTATTAAAAATATTAAAAATATTAAAAATACGTATTTTTGAAATGTAGCTAAGAGTGTTATTTTTGATATAACATGTCATAAAAGATTTGAGAGATATACCCATGGTTACTCTTCGTAGTAACTCGTTATAAGAAATTAGAATATAAGAACGATATCTAATAACCGTGATTGACATGGATATTTGTTAATCAAAATTTTATATAAAATCTTGAGAACTTAAAAATCTTACATTGGGTATATAACCTTTGGGATCTGCTGTTTTTTGTGAAAACAAATGTCGATGGTGAAAAATCATGGTCATATTGCAGCAGTCTTTGCTCAATACATATTTTTTTATTATAATAAAAATTGTACTCATAAACTAGAGGGATTATATTATACATACTATCATGAACTAGTTACGTTACGAAATCATGTATTTTACAATTATTTATAAGGGCATGAAAATTTTTGGTAAATTGAATACAATAGCAAAAAAAAATGGACCAGAAAGAAATAAACACTGAAAAACAGTAATATAATATATGCATTTTTTCTTTAAAAAATTATGCAAATGCATTTTTCTATTTCTGCCCAAATCTTCAAGTAAAAGTTATTGGGTGAATAAGAAAGTAAAGAAAGAATCATGTTAATATGATCGAGCATTACAATATTCAAAACCTAGATTATGTAAATTTTACGTCTCAATGATTATTTTTCTATATTTTATGTTAACAACATTTAACAAAGGATTTCAAAAGATAGTTGCCTTAAAAATATGTTTCTAAACAAATCCTTTAAATATTTGGACATCATCTAAACATCGGAATTTAATGGTTTAGGCTGACACAATGAACTTTTAAAGCCGGGCAACAAATTTTTGTTTAAAAGCCCAACAACGGCAAATTACAAGATAAGTTAAAATAAAAAACCATTAATAGTAAGAAACAACGATATTAGCATGAAAATATTTAATTTTTGGGTTAGAACAAATGTTGGACACGTTTCATGATTGTATATTAATATTAGTTTGTTTTCCATTATTATTAAAAATAGCAAAAATATTATTGGATAATAATATTAATATGATTGATCTTAACATATATTGATTAATATACTAATATATTGATATATCAATTAATTAATCAAAGGACGAATTGTTTTGAATTATGATTTATTTGATTTCCAGTAGAGCTATTCTTTACCAGCTTCATTTAAGACTAATTTTTATTGGTTCTTCTTGATCGCTGTTATCACTTTCAAGTAAGTCCATGTCCAACTACGCTTTTGTCTGTTTGGTCTTAACGGTGGTGGTTGCTCATTTGAAGACAAACCAGCCATGTTTTTCGGCCAAAAAAGAAATTATTGTATATTTAAACACCAATATCGGATATTTTTTATAAAATGAAAGAATGCATTGATTTTTTCGTTTTATAATCATTCGATACAAAATTCTTAATATTAATATTGATATAATAATAATGTATAATTAACGATAGTCCCTTTTGCCCTTTTGTTTCATTAATATCAGTCATTGTATGGCGTAAAAATTTTATATGTACAGTCAAGGCTCATTATGTGGGCACCCGATTCCAGACATTTTTGTCCACTATAAAGAAAAAGCATTAATTAAATCATGCAAACCTTTGTAAAAGCTTCCTATCCCAGTTTGAGGTGTTTCTGTGAGTCTATCCCATGCAATGAACCTATTTTTAACAACTTCATCAGTAGTACTGTTATTCTACCCGCACTTTTACAATAAGAACCGTTGCCGCTTAGCAAGAAAGTTATGTTCGAAGGAATAACTTTGGTGGCCTTCCCTTCTTAGAGGTTGGAATCGACTACTAATACTACTAATACTAATACTAATACTATGCTAATATTATTATTGTCTGACCAATTACATTTTTGTGTTTTATCATTCAAAATGGAAAATTTCTATGCGGAAGAGTATCAATACCATCAATATGATGACGACGACAATGGTAGTGGTGTTGTTGATGATAATTTTACATGAGAATGAATAAACACTTCCAATACAATGTCCAATAGTTCATGGGCTTCAAGTTTCAATGATTTAAGCGGTGGTTCCAGATGACCTTTAAAAAAACGAATCGTAACACATGGTTTTGTGCGGAAGCATTTTGCAAAAGTGAAAGATTCAAATGGAAATGAATTCGTAATTTGCAAATTAAAAAAAAAAAAACGAAATATTATTTGTTATTGCTAAAATAATCAACTAATAGTCGACTAAAGAAATTTTTGACCAACTAGTAGTCAACTAAGGATTTTTTGGACGATTCCAACCTCTATCCCTTCTGCATTTTATACCAAATCTTGTAAAGTTCTGTAAAGAGAGATTCAAAATTTAAATAAATTAGTTGATATTCTTTTTTCAGATTGGTCTAATCAATTCAACAGTTTTTGAATAATACCTATATGATGATTCTACACATTTTGAACTTGAAAATCAAGAGCGAAGCTAAAATTATTTACTGTGGCCAAAATTACGGTGACCGTAATTATTTAAGGAATTTAATTTTAAACTTTTCTTGTCGTAATTAATTGATTTTTCCTGTTGCAATTCTGTAATTATAAACAAGGCAAAGAATTGCATCACAAACCTGATTGCACAAAGATTCTATGGTAATAGTGTGATTGGTTAGTTATTAAAGTTTAATACATGCATTTAAAGATTCTTGGCAACAACTAATTTGAAAGTGTATTTATAAAGTGTTATTATTCTTGATCTTATAAAATCAAAAGTAAAATGAATGAATTATAAACAGGAAGGCTTTCACAAACTCACTTTATTTCATCGCAAAATTTTCATGCTCTTGACGATTATTATTATTATTATTATTATTATTATTAATCTTTTATATACAGTGAACCCTTGTTTCAACGAAGTATAATTAAATTTTTGATACAACGAATTTTTAAAAACGTTGTTACACA